AAATTAAATAATTACAGACCTGGTGCGATAGCCTAGTGGTTAAATCTTGCCTTGAATGCACCGGGATGCACCCATGGGTGCCGGTTCATGTCCCAGTTGCTCCACTTCTCATCCAGCTCTTCCTGCTTATGGCCTGGGAAAGAAGTAGAGACCTTGGGACCCTGCACCTATGTGGGAGACCCAGAAGAAGTTCCTTGGTCCAAGTACGTCTGCTCAGAGGCAAGGGTGTCTAAATCTCTCAGCCACGTGACTTTGACTCGCGGGGGGATCCACCCTGGGCCAGGCTTCCCGCTGGGGATCCTAGCTCCCCGTTCGCTGCCAGGCAGTGGGCAAATCCTGAGCTTGTCCAAACCTGAGGTCCGAGGATTTCCTCCATCCACAGCGAGCATGCTGGTCGCAGAGCTCGTGTGGCTCTGGGCATGCTCAGGATCATAGCTCCTCCCACCACCACCATGTTGGTTGGTGGAGTCCAGGTAACTCCTCAGAGGCGTGGGTGTCCAAATCTCCCAGCCACATGGCTGTGGCTGGGGTAATCTGTGCCAAACCAGGCTTCCTGTTGGGGCCCCTAGCTTCCCCTCCGCCACTGCGAGGCAGTGGGCAAATCTTGAGCTTGCAGGTGGCCAGAGCACCAACAGTGCCAGGCTTTACCCACTGGCAGCTTGGTGACAAGCTCTGGGGTCTTGGGGATGTAGAATTACTGCCTAGGGAGTGCCACAGATAAGGCCACTGTTCACATAGGTGAGGAATGAATCCTGAGGGACACCCAAAGACAGAACCACTATACTTGCAGGTAAGCAAGGGGACTGAGACCTAGTGATTTGGAGGTGAGAGACACAAACATCTTTATGGGCCAGACTGATGCACCAGCCTACATGGGAGTCCCAGGTTTGGCTTGTTAGCATGGAACATTGTTGATCGCCACATACCAGTCCACGCAAAAGCTAGGGCTGGGAGCCTATCTAGCAGGGTTAGACCCCAGTGCCTGACTGTTGGAACACATGACAGGTCACACTAGGCAGGGCCATGACACTAACCAGCACACAAGAGAACCAGGTCCAGGGGTAGATTCTATGGGGCATATGTAGGCCAAACCCTGTGGAAATACAAGTGCTGCTGGTTAGCTCAAGAGTTGAGATGGGTGCAGACCCACGTGTGGCGCAGGCAAGGAAGGACCCTGAAGATAAGCAGCCGCTGCCTGGCGAGCCGCCGTCTCCGGGGCTGCATCTGAGTGTCCGCTGCCGCGGGCTCGCTCCGACACCTGAGTATTTCAGAGATCTACCCGCAGCCATGAGTAGCAACGAGTGCTTCAAGTGTGGGCAATCTGGCAACTGGGCCCAGGAATGCCCCACTGGAGGAGACCACTGCGTGGTCGTGGGATGAGAAGCCGTGGCAGAGGTGGTTTTACCTCGGATAGAGGTTTCCAGTTTGTTTCCTCGTCTCTTCCAGAAACACCTGAGTGAGTCTGGCCACCTTGCCAAGGATTGTGATCTTCAAGAGGATGCCTGCTATAACTGCGGTAGAGGTGGCCGCATCGCCAAGGACTGCAAAGAGCCCAAGAGAGAGCGGGAGCAGTGTTGCTACAACTGCGGCAAACCGGGCCACCTGGCTCGTGACTGTGACCATGCTGATGAGCATTGGTGCTATTCGTGTGGAGAATTTGGACACATTCAGAAAGATTGCACCAAGGTGAAGTGCTATAGGTGTGGTGACACTGGCCACGTAGCCATCAACTGCAGCAAGACCAGCGAAGTCAGCTGTTACCACTGTGGCGAGTCGGGGCACCTTGCACGGGAATGCACGATCGAGGCCACAACCTAATTAGTTTCCTTTGTCACCCCTCCTTTTTCTGATTGATGGTTGTATTATTTTCTCTGAATCCTCTTCACTGGCCAAAGGTTGGCAGATAGAGGCTCCTCCCAGGCCGGTGAGCTTTACTTGCCATGTAAACGGAGGAAAGGGGTGGAAAAAAAAAAGACTTCCTACATTTAACTACAAAAAAAAGTTTATGTTTAGTTTGGTAGAGGTGTTATGTATAAAGCTTTGTTAAAGAACCCCCTTTCTGCGCCACTGGTGAATAGGGACTGATAAATGGGAAGAGTGGAGTCCAGCCAGTACGCCCATGCTGAGCTTCCCATGTAGGAGGTAAAACCAATTCTGGAAGTGCTTATGAACTTCCATAAATAACTTTAATTTTAGCATAATGATGGCCTTGGATTGTCTGACCTCAGTAGCTACTTAATAACATCAAGTAACATCTGTATCAGGCCCTCACAGAACATACAGTTGAGTAGGAGTAAACAAAATAAAGAAACATGCATGTTGGTGGCTATGTCAGAGAAATCGAGATCAAAGCCTAAACCACTTCATCACAGAGTTGATGCTGCACATACAGATGGTGATGGCACAGGTATAGAACACATGTTTGCAAAGACTTCTAAAACCCAGAGTAGACATCGATGCCCAGGGTTGGCATAACTTGGGGCTATTCAGGAATTGCAGAGAAATGTGTTTTCACAGAAATCAAGATGTTATTTTTGTATACTATATCACTTAGACAACTGTGTTTCATTTGCTGTAATCAGTTTTTAAAAGTCAGATGGAAAAAGCAACTGAAGTCCTAGAAAATAGAAAGGTAATTTTAAACTATTCCAATAAAGCTGGAGGAAGAAGGGGAGTTTGAAGTTTTTTGTTTCAGTTTCATTCATGTATGTAATGCAAAATGCCACCTCCTTTTAAAGGGGATTGTGGAGGATTGAAAAAAAAAAAAGAGTTGAGATGGTGATCTGCTGAGCTAGATATGACCATGAACCCTGCCAACACAGGTCCAGGCTGCAGCACCCATATGTGCATCTTAAAAAAGGGTGTGGGGCTGACAGGCTACAACATGCACCAGCTCATACAAGGCCAAGATGGTGGGGCAGGCTATACTAGGTGAAGACCTGGCACCAGCTGGTGTGCATGACATTTGGGTCTGGAAGTAGAGCAAGTGAGAATTGGGAGGCTCCCCCAGTGAAACATAGCTCCCACTGCTGAGTACATAGTCCAGGCCTGGGGGTCAGGCAAGATGGGCAAGATAGCTCCAACTGTTGGCAAATGTATGGGTTGGTTTTGGAGGGGGGTTGACTGGGCAGGGCCAAGAAAACCTTAGCTAACTGGCAAGTGCAGAAACCAGGCTGGAGCACAGGTCATGCCAGGCTAGGCTGTCGCACCTAATGGTTTGCATGAGCAAGGGATGGGAGAGACTGAGAAGGGCCAGGTTCCAGTACCACCAGTGAGATTTGGGACTGGGGGCAAGCTGTGTCAGGCCAGGCTAGAGCATCCAAACGCAAAGGCCAAGACAGGTGAGGGATTATGCCAAGTTGGGTCAGAGCAACCACTGGCATGCACAAGATCTATGGTTGGGAACAGGCCTGGTTGGGAGCTAAGGGGATACCCTGGTTGGGTTGTGGTCCCCACTGGTGAGTGCAAAGGCCAGAGTAGGGGCTGCTCTCTTGTCTGGATATGGCTGCAGTGTCCTTGGGTACAAGTATGGGCTGCAGCACCAACTGGTGCTCATGAGAACCAGGGTAGGTGGAGGACTGGCTGGGCTAGGTCTCTGCCCCTATTGAGCCATGTATGAGCTGTGTGTAGGTGTGGGCCAGGCTTGGCTAGGCTATAACATCCAACAGTAAAGATCAGAATGGTTGAAGGCCAGTCAGGAAGAGCTACTGTTCCTACAAGGACAGGAGGTGGACTAAATAGGGTTGGCCCAAAGACCAACCGATGGGCATGAGATCTGGCATTGGGAGAGCTTCTGATGGTGGAGCATGGACACTCCTCTGTTGGGACACAGCCCCTGCAGGTGAATGCAAGAACCACAAAAGTGTGCAGCCCAGACCAGGCCAGGGATTGGTACTCCCTGGCACATACCACCAAAATGGAGTGTGGGTCAGGCCGGGTTGGATTGCAATACAACCCAGTTTACATTAGGGCCAAAACTGGGGGGCCAATTGGGCTCGGCTAGGCTGTAGCCCCCACCAGCACGAATTGCAGTCGGGGGTGGGCTGGGCTTGGCCAGGCTGCAACACCCACTGGCAAATGCTGAGGAGAGGCAGGCCATACCAGACTAGGCTGCAGTGTCCAATCAGCACATGTGAGACGCAGGGTCGGAGGGGGCAAAACCAGTAGGGAGATACATGGGGTTCCCCTGCTGGAACACAACTCCATCTCTTGAGCATGAGAGTTGGGATGGGGACTGATCAGGCCAGGCAGGGTTATAACACCTGTTGGCTTCATGTGAGCTGGGGATCAGGGGAAAGGCAGGCTAAGTTAACTGTTCCTACTGGTACATGCGTAAGTCAGAGTGGGTGTGGATTGGTTGGGCTTTGCCACAGCATCAGCTGGCAGATGCTGGTGTGGAGGACAAATTCTGTCTGTAAGACCTTATTGTAATACCTTTTTGTCTGATGACATTAAACCCATGTTGTTCTTGTTCAGTGTGAATTTTGCATGAACTTTTACCCAGCGGTTAATTTTTCAAAATAGAAATTTTCCTAATAATACCACATTGGATTATAGAAAGACTAAACAATTACCAGAAGACTTGGTAAGAACACAACCACATTGGTCATTGCACAAACCAGTACACATGTGGGATAGTGAACATAACGAAGCAGGCAAATACCCAAACTCTATTCGCAATGCTTGAAATGACTTCAGAAATAAATGATATAAGGCCTGTAGCAAAGTTCACAGTTTCTGGAATTTTAATTTTGTATAATATTGAAAATGTACACATAGGTACCTAGGTCTCTTGGCATCTAATTTCACTAAACCTTATATGTGCATATATATTCTTTTTGGCATAGAATAATACTAAGCAAAACAGGTTGTGATTCTGTTAAGCTTATGGTTTTCCAATATGTCTGTGGAAGCTCCATTAGACTTACTAAGATGTTGCCTAAAAGATGCGATAAAATAGGTCCCATCTCGAGTTCTACCTACAAGCAATAGCATCATGCAGCCAAGTTTTATTGAACGCAACAGTTGTTTCTGTGGCCATTGGAGTCTTTAAAGCGCAGCCGCCTTTTAGAATGGTATTTCTCCAAATACAAAAGTTGCTTACTGTTAAAAGCTCCACGTCGCTTTTGTCGAATCAGCTGCACTGCATCTTCATTTTTCATTCCACTTTCGATTAACGCTAGGGCAATCAGCACTGGGGTTCTGCCAAGCCCCGCAACACAGTGAACGGCGATACAACAGCCAGGTTCTTCACGGAATTTAATGCTTACAAGTCTTAACCAATCATCGACAATCTGTTTGGAAGGTGACGAGCCATCGTCAAAAGGCCAGTCCACAACCTGGATGCCTTCCTTCTCCACAAGAGCAGTGTCGTAAGTCGCTTCGCACACTCTTACTATTGTGGTCACTCTGTATTTCTTAAGCTCCTCTAGAAATCTGGTTAAGGTTGCCGTGGTTGGGCTGTGCGTAATCAGAAATCTCATGTTCCTGTACGTGACTTCCACAGGAGCTGGGCGGTTCATTGGAGGCATGTTAACACTCAGTATGCCCACAGAGAAAGTAAAATAGCTTTGGAAGACCAAAAGGATGTCCGCAAACTCAAGCCCACACTTCTGTGTCCCCCACTTGAAAGTCTCAGCGCTTCAAAGATGAAGGCGGCAGACAACAGAAGAACAAGTTGCCTGAGGGACAGCAGCAGGTCCCGGACTCACTGCTAACCGGAAGTTTACCCCATCCGGCTCAGAGCTCTTGTCAAACCTGCTGCTTCTCTCAATTCAAGACAGCTGTGTACGGGTTAGCCAATGGGGACGTCCTGCTGGTGTGGGAATGCCTTCCCAAAGTTCACTTGTCCTCATGAAGGCCGTGCTGTGCTTGGCAGTAATCTCCAGGGCCCTTCAGAAACTCCATCAATGAGTGACCCAGAACACCACAGAAAGGGATCCTCATGAACAACTGTGGCCTAATCATACAGCCAGGCCCGTGGCGGCGACACACGCGGCGGCAGCAGCAGCGCGTCCTGGAGCGGCAATGGTCGTCGTGGGGCGAGACACTAGGTTCCACCGTGGCCAGGCGCCTCGTGCGGAGCGTCCAGGAGCCAATACCCGCGCCGCAGCGCTCTGCGTCACAAGCGCTCCCTTTTATAGCCGGCGCGACGACGTAACACTACCCGCCTCAGCCGACTAAGAGCCAATGAGCGAGCAAGGAAGAGGGGCCCATCCCCCGCCCAACGCCCAGGCATCACCATGGGCAAGGCTGGCAAGAACCTGTTGCCAAAGGGAGAAGCAATAGGGGACTTAGGAAGGACCCACAGGTGCGGGTGGTGGAATGGGGTGCCTGGATAAGACTGAAAGGAATTTATAAGACTGAAACCAGGATAGGCTAAGAAGGTTCCCAGCCATTGAACTGGATTAAGGTATCATTTCTTTCAGGTTTTATTCTGTTGGAAATCACACGTTTGTCTTCTGTTTTGGCAACTCACTTTGATAACCTTTGTCTTTTAACCAAGAAACAGTAAATTTGCCTTTTGATCCCTTTTGGGATGCTTTTTAACCTGCATTTCCATATTTTAAAAGTCCCTTTACATTTCTTTGGGATTAAAATCCCACCCACACACAAATCCAGCCATATATTCCGGTTTTCCCTCTCCCATACAGGAGGTTGTTGTCATGGCTAACACATTTGTTTAGCACTTACTACAGGTAAGGCAATGTTCTACATTTAATATCTTTTCCTAAATTTTACAACTCTATATTTCTTTTTTTTTTTTCATTTCTTATTATTTTATGGTACAGTTCCATATGCCCCAGGATTTCCTTAATTTCCACCCCAGAGCTCCTTCCTTTCACTGATTTCTCCTACATTAATACAGTAGTATAGTTCTTCATAAACAGTTGTAAGGCGCTCATTGTGGGCATGGACAATGGCAGAGTCCAGCATCCCATTATCATGATATATTTAACAGTTTTATTGGGAGTCCATCTTTAATCTGCAAGTAGAGATGCATATTGCATTGTATCCTCACATATGAATATGATAGTCTCCATTACACAGCTACTATATATCCCCTTAAATGAAAAGCCACAAAACAAAAGCAACAACCAGAAGAAAAATAAAAATTAACAATGCCATAAAGTGAAATAAGATGCTACTGAATGACTGATGTGTCACTAAAGAAATGAAAAAGGAAATCAAGAACCTTCTTGAAGAAAATGATGCTACTCTATGACCTTTAAATCAGTGAAGAATTTAATGTGAGAATAAAAGCTGTTTAGGAGATATGAAAACAAACACAAAAACATCAAAGTTCATGAGATACAGTGTCTGCTGATCTTTGTTGGTGAGATATGTCTCCTGTATGAAACAAATAGATGGATTTTGTTTTTTTCAATCCAATCTACTAATCTATGACATTTGATTGATGGGTTTAAGCCATTTACATTCAGGGTTAATATGAATAGGTGGTTACTTGTTCCTGACATTTTAGCAATTTGTTCATTGTTTGATTTAGTCTTATGATTTTTTTTTTTTTTTACTGGGATGTTCTTCCCATTTGCCTTTGATTTTGGCAGGTGCTATTCCTTTCTCTGTCAAGATCTTTAAGTGTTATTTGTAGGGCATGTTTGGAAAAGGCATATTCTTTCAGTTTGTCTTTACTGTGGAAGAATTATCTTTCATTTTCAAAGACAAAGAAAAGCTTTACTGGGTATGTTATTCCTGGACCAAAACATTTTTGCTTTTAAAATCTAAAATATATCACTCCATTCTCTTTTGGACTGTAGTTTCCTGTGAGAGGTCAGCTGTGAGTGTGATTACCGTTCCTCTTATAGGTCAATTGATTTTATTACATGCGCACTTAAGGATCTTAAAGAGAGTATGATTATCATGTGTCATGTTGAAGACTGCTTTTGGTCAACCTTGTTGGGAGTTCTATGCCCCTTCTGTGCTCTGTCTCCAAATTCTTTCTCTACATTATTTTTAATTTTTTATTTCATTGAATACATTTTTAAACCCAGTTTCTCTTTTGGTACCTTCTGGAACTCCATAACTCTTATATTTGACTTTTTAATAGTGTCCCTTACTTCTTGAATACTTTTTTTAGCTTGACCCAGCTCTGTCTCCATTGTGACAAGAAATATCTTCCAATTCCGAGATTCATTCTTGTGCCTCACTCATTCCATATGGAGACTTCCCAAATTTTTAATTTGCTTTATTGTGCCCTTCGTTCCAATAAGTTGACTTGATTTTGTTTCAGTGTTGCTATTTCCTGTGTGACATATTCCTTAAATTCCTTGAAGTCCTCTATGTGCTTCTCATTGTTGTTCAGAAGCTTTATAATGAGTTTTTTGAATTCTGTATTCCCCATTTCTTGAATGTCTTCCTCAGTTAACTCTGAGATTGGCAAAGGCTTTTGCTCCTTTGCAGGTGAGTTCAGCAATATTCACTGTGTCCGCGTTTCTTCTTTTGCTCTTGGTCATTGTACTTCCGGTTACCAGTCTTCTTCTTAGGGCAGGTTTCTAAACTGTGCCACCCACAGGTCTACAGTATAGTTTTATTGATTGCAGTTGATACCCAATTCTTTATAGCTACTTATGCCGCTCTCCCCTCAACCCCGAGCAAGTTTCAGGTCTGGGATCTTGTATTTGACTTTCACCACGGTTTCCACAGCCCCAGCTCCTAGATCACCACTCTCCACCTCCTGTTCATGCTGTGGCTGCACTGTTGTCTATGCAATCTCTCTCCCACTTCTGGTTCAAGCAGTTCCCAGGATTAGGGAGATACCAGGTGTCCTAAATAACTGGGTTGTTGGTGTTGCCAACCTTGCTGGCACCTGCCAGCCTTTAGGTATGAGGGCCACCCAGACCTATTGTGATCTGTAGGATGACAAAATTGATAGTATTTTCCCTGAGGGACCAATGCACTGAGCTGGAAGTGAGTTCTCTCCCAGTTCAGCACATGTACAGCTCACTGTTGTTATTCCAGTCTCACAGCTTTTCCACACTGTACAAATGGTGCCTGGTATGCCACTGGTGGAGATCTGGATCTCTGGTCATTAGGACTGGGGATTACCCAGGCTTATTTTGGGTAGAATCTGTAGGATGCCACATCATTGCAATTCACTGAACCAGAAATGAGTTCACTGCCAGCTTAGTGCATGTGCAGCCCCATCCCAAAGTCTTTGCCTCCGTATACAAGGTGGAGACTGATGCAGCTCTGGTGGGGTTCTGGATTATGAAATCCACTCTGTTGCCATACAGCCTGTTTGGGATCTGCTGCTCCCTCTCTGTTCCTGTCAGATCAAATAAATTGTAGGACAGGCAGTTCTTTACCTGGGTTCACCTCCTGAGCTCCCTGTGAACTCTCTTTCCCACCTGGTTGCTGGTGGAGCTCCAGCTGCTAGTGGAGCTCAGATCATCACTCACAGATCGCCACTGTGTTGATATTGGGTCACTGCAACACTACACTGTTACCTCTACTGCTTTCCCATTACTGTCAGTCCCCACGTGCCTCTCTGCCATTGATTTTTCCCCTCCTATTTCCTTGAATGTGCTCCTTCTGCTTCACCTTGGCTAATGATTCTATTTATAGGTGTCCTTACGCTATTCTGCCATCTTCCATACTAGTATTTCTATTGGCATAATTTTAAAACCTAGATGTATAAATGTTAACTAATTTGTCCAAAGTCACACAACTGGCAAATGGCAGAGCTCAAATTTAAATTCTGTATTCTAACCCTGGAGTCTACCTCTCTTTGCATGTGATCTACTATACACCACACTCCTATTCTTCCAGTGCTCCAGTTGCTTAGAATTCAGCACACTGTAACAATGCTCCCCAACATCATGAATTATATTGCTTATAAAAAATAAATATTTTAAGTACTATAAACTCAATTTTTAGCTTATCCAAGTTATCAGTTTCTTTGCTCACTATTCCTTCTCAACACTCTATTCTTCTTTATGAGGCTATTTCCTTTATTTTAAAACTTTTATTTGAAAAGCAAAGTTACACAGAGAAAAGGACAGACAGAGAAAGATCCTCCATCCACTGGTTTACTACTCACATAGCCACAACAGTCAGAGCTGAGCCAATCTGGAGCCAAGAGCCAGAAACCAGGTCTCTCAAAGACTTAAGCCATCTTCTGCAGTTTTCCCAGACACATTATCAGGGAGCTGATTTGGAAATGGAGCAATAGGAAACAAATCAGCACCCATATGGGATGCTGCTGATGCAGGTGGAAGCTTAGCTTACTACCCCAGGGCACCTGCCCCAGGTTTTTTCCTATAACCAGAAGCATCCTGTTTTTTTAGTTTTTAGTGTTTTTATAGGTAATGCCACTGTGATGGTAAGCCACTTTATTTTCCCTTTTTAAAGATTTAGTTTATATGAAAGAGTTACAGAGACAAGGATGAGAGAGCCAGAAAATCTTCAACCCGCTGGTCCATCCACTCCCCAAATTTTTGCAATGACCAGAGCAGGGCTGATCCAAAATTGTGAGCTAGGAGCTTCTTCCAGGTCTCCCGCAGAGATGCAGGGGCCCAAAGTCTTCGGCCATCCTCTGCTATTTTCCCATGCCATAAGCAGAAAGCTGTATC